AACAAGGGCCTGGGCTCTTATCTGGGCAGGGCTGGCAGCCAGGGAGATGTTAATTGGGATTTAATGTAGTGAGCAGGCTCTGGACGAAGGCTGCTGCTGCTGGCGTCCCTTGCAGGGTGCTGTGGGATGGGGCTGTGCCCAGCTGGGCTCCAGGGCCGGGCTGGTGGCTCCTCCAGGCTGGAGGTGGCAGAGGGGACAGGGTGTGTGACCCTGCCAGGGGCTGTGGGTGGCTCTGGCACCAGGGCAGGCTGGAGGTGCTGTGTGCTGTGAGGTGTTGATCTGCATTTCCCGGGCTCTGCCGAGGAGCTGAGCAGGAGCTGAGCAGCCAGAGCTCGCTGTGGGCTCTGGAAGGATCTTGGCAGCTGCAGGCAGGAGTGTGCAAGGCCTGGGGAGGAAAACATCCCAAGGCAGAAGTTTCTATTTTTAGCTGCACAGTGCAAATGCACAGAGCTGCTGAGGAATTCATCACCTGCCCCGGGAGACGGATGGTTGGGATTTTCCTGTGAAGGGAAGATCTGTGGCAGAGGCAGAGGGAATGGTGCTGGGGTGTTTTGGCCACTGGTGAGTGTCTCTGGTGGTGGCACAGCTGAGGAGGAGGAAGAGGAGCACTGAATGTGATCCCCAGTGGCTGGGACATCCTCCAGCCCCACACACCACCGTGCCCAGCCCTGCCTCCAGCCACATCCCTGCCCTGCTGGCCCCATTCCCAGAGGCTTTCTGCAGGTCCCAGCACAGCGCCAGGCTGTGCCCTCCCCTCTCCTGCAGGATCTGTGCTCCTGGAAGGGTTTGCCCAGGCTGGAGCTCCCCGTGGCTGGGCTCTGCTGGACCAGGCACTGCCTGGATTTAGGGGGAGCAGCTTTTTGGAGCTCTGAGGGGCAGAGTGGGGCTGCTCCTGGGTCCTGCCTTGGCAAGGGGCCGGGATGTCCCTGAGGAGGTGCTGTGCCTGGAGAGGTGCTGAGCCACCAGGAGCAGCTCCCTGGCTGCACAAGTCTGGCAAAACCAACCTCGGGGTTTTAACGAGCACATTTAATGCAGCGTCCTGCTGTTTTGGGCAGATTTCCATATCGATCCTTGATCTATTTTTGCAGCCGCCGTTGGAGGTGGTTATTTGTGTGTCTGCTGTATCACAACTCATGCATTTCCTCCTGGCACAGGAGTGTTTGTGCTCGCAGGGTGGGCTCTGCCAGGTGGGGATTTGTTGTGGCCGTGGTGCTGCAGCATCCCTCCAGCCAGTCCTGCACGGTGGGTGTCTGAAATAAAGGACAGCCCAACCTTCCCTCGCTCCCGGGTGGCCTGGCCCGGTGGCACCACAACCCAGTGACATTTCTGGGTGGCTGCGCTGTCAGTCCCACAGCTCATTACTGGCACTAATTAACTCTGTGCTGCCCCAGCGCCTGCGCCTGCTTTGGTCTGTAGTCACTCATGCCATTTATCCCCATTTTGACAGGAATTTGCCCCCCCTCAGCTGCAGGAGATGCCTCCAAGGCCCAATAATGACATTTGAAGGGCTTCTGTTCCACGGTAAAAGTGGAGCCCCTGTGCAGGGGGTGCCTGGGTGGGCACTCCTGGGCAGCACCAGTCACAGGCTCCAGGGTGGGGGTCCCTGGTTGGAGCCTGAGTGGAGCCACTGAGCAGCTTCCCATTTGTCCAGTTAATTGCGAAGCAAATTAATCCGTGTATCCAATTTAACTTTAAAGGCTTTAATTAATGAGTCCATGCGTGTAAGAGCTGGGAGAGGCTGTGCTGATCTGGGTTGTGCTGCAGCTTTGGTGCCGTGGGCTCAGGCACCTGGGGAAGTGCCAGGTGCTCCTGGTGGGATTCAGGGGCACTGTGGGGACCCTGTGGCACGGGCTGTGGCATTTGCCCGTCCTGCAGCTGCTCTGGGGGCGGGCTGGAGCATCGTCTGTGCACGTCTCACATCTCCCCATGGCCTTCCCCTCCCTCCCTCCCTCCTGCTGCTGTGGGGCCGTGCCAGGGCTGCAGCCAGCCCGGCCTCGCTGGGTGATAATGCTGCTCTTAATTGAGGACCATCTGCACTTGGTAATTTAATTTTTCCTGCATCTGCGAGGTTCCAGCTTTGTTTGTCTGATGTCCTGACGATTATTTAACTTCGGAGCATCGTGTTTGTCCACCCCGGGCACTGCAGGCATTCCGCTGCGGCCCCTGCTAGAGAAGATTTCAATCACGTTTGCACTGCCCCAGGAAAAAGGACACAAAAGCTGAAATTGGAGCAGAGCTGAGGTGCAGGGATGGTTTTGCTGCCCGAGTGGTGGCAGGAGCTGCTGGGAGCGTTCCCCCTGCTCTGACAGAGCACGGAGCCCTGAGCAGCACTGCCCCTGCCTCGCCGGCAGGGCTGGCAGCACATTTCACACCCCAGCGCCTCGACACACGGCATCTCTTGTCTTTGGGTGCTTATCAGGAGCTCAGCCCCCAGCTGTGCCTTGGGAGGGCTGGCAGAGGGAATTGAGGCATCTCCTTAAAAAAAGAAAAAAATTGAGAGCTGGAAAGTCACTTAGCTCTGGGGTGGGGGAGACCTGGGCATCTGGTTCATCTGAACACCTTGGACACTTCCAGGGCTGGGGCAGCCACGGCTGCTCTGGGCAAACTTCCTTGGGATGCAGGCAGGGATGCCAGCCCGAGTGATGCTCTGGCTGTGTGTCCTGCCTGCAGGAACACTTCTACAGCTTCTCACCCTGGAACCCTGCTCTCTTCCACACCCCGTCCTCAGAAAATCAATTTTTCCCCCAGGCTGGTCCAGCAGCACCTGGATCCCTGTGCAGACTTTAATTAGGTCCAAGCATTTACCTCCCTAAAATATAGGTCAGTCGTAATTAGTGTGGCTCCTGTTGCTGCCAGCTCCGTGTTAATTAACTCCTGAAGTGCAGGTCAGAGCACGTGGGGCACCTTTGGAGCTCCAGCTTTTTTGGCTGCTCAGCAGATGCTTCAGGGTGGCTTTGGCCTGGATGATCCCTGCTCGGTGCCATGTTCCCTGTCCCTGCCAGCCATGGTGCTCTGCCAGCCATGGACATGGCCATGTCCTGGGCACAGCCACACCCTGCTCTGAGCTGGAGGTGCTCGTGTGCCCGTGGGCAGGGCACCTCTTTGGTGCTGGCTTTAACGTGACACTCACTGTGTCCTTGTCCCTTGTCACCACCCATCACACCAAGTGTCCTCATCCCCTCGTGCCAAGGGCTGGGGCTGATGGTGAAACACAGAGCCTCTGCCTTCCTCTGCAGCCCCTGGCACGCCCCTGGCACCATCCCTGGCACCATCCCTGGCAGGTGGTGCGGGCAGCTGGCTGCCAGCAGCTGGGAATGGTGTTGGGATGGCTCTGTGCTCCTGCAGGGTCTGTGGGATGAGCCTGAGGCTCCAGCACCTGCACGGGGAGCATGCAGGGTTCTGGAGAGCGAGGAGTGGATCTCTGCAAGCACAGACCTGCCCCGTCTCACCTGGCTCAGGTGTCAGGGCTGTTCCCAGCCTGTGGGATGAGGTGGAGGTGAGCTCAGCACTGTTTGCTGTGGCTGTGGTTCTGCCCTGGGGATGGCTCAGTCCCTGCTCACCTGGCAGCCCCGGGCAGAGGCACCACGGCCCAGGGAGCACTTTGTGGCAGTGGGTACACTGGATTTTAGGCACTTCAGGAGCCCTGGTGTCACATCCTGGGAGAGGCTCAGCTCCACCCGTGGGGAGCCCTAAACCCCCGGCTGGCTCCTGAGCCCCTGCTTTTCCCTGAGTACCTCCCTGCTCCCCCACCCCAGTCCCTGGCTGCCTATTTTTACAGCTCCCGGGCTGTGAATCACTTCTCTCCCCCTCTCAGTCGCTGCCTTTGAAGGTATTTATAACCCGGGGCCGTCTCCCTGCGCCTGCCTGAGCAGACGAGCACTCAGCGCCCGGCTCCCTCTGCCCTCTCCTCCCCGCCAGACCCCGGTGTGGATGTGCAGGAGATGAGATGCCCCCTCTGCCCTCGTTAAAACCATCAGTGAAGAGCACCTGGAGGGGTGTGGGATGTGCAGGGGTGGATCCTGGCACGGATCCCTGGGGGTTTGGTGGCACTGGAGTGGCTGGTGGTGGGTCTGGGGCAGCAGAGCCCAGCTGGGGTCACGGCAGCCTTGGCCATCCCATGCCGTGTGCCGCGGGAGATGGGAGCATCCCAAAGCAGCTCCAGAGCAATGGAGGAAATGGGATTGAAATGATCAGCAGAGCAGCCACCAGCTGCCTGGTCCCACTGCTGTGCTGTTCCCACTGATTACTGGGCTGATTTCTGTGGATCTGGCAAGCAAATGAATCTCTTCTCTGCTCCTTCCCCTGGGACCCTGGTCTGTAGGATTGCATTCCTTCAGTGTTTGGAGAGGCTGGTGCAGATTGCTGGGATGGGGGATGGACATGGCCAGGATCCACCTCCTGCCCTCCCTGTCTGGCACAGCCACCCTGAGGGGCACTGAGGGGCTCCCACACAGCTCCCAGCTCTGCCAGGGCATCCTTCCACACAAAATATCCTGTTGGCTTTGGGAGAACCCATTGTGGAGGGACACTTCCCCCTCTCCTCCTCGGTTCACCTTTCCTCAAACCAAGCAAAACAGGAGGGAAAACATATTAAGAGAGAAACCAGCAGTAAAACAGGTCCAAGAGGCAGGAGCAGGAATTATTTTGAATTTTCTGGCTGCATGTGGAGTGGTTGCTTGTGTCTTTTGAAGGCTATTAATGTGGGATGCTGGTGCTCATTAATTATGGCCAGAGGTCTCCAGCCTGAGCTGGGTGTGGCATTGCCAGGATTGAGGTTCCCAAATAGATGCAACTTTTGCTCACACAGGGAGAGATCCTCTGGCTGGGCCCTGGTGAAAATGGCTCTGCAGGTGCTGGGACAATGGATGGGAGTTTGAGAAGCAGGAGAGGGGATCAGCCTGAGGGTTTGGGGGAAGCACTGGCTGGGCAGGGGCTGGCTGTGTCTCCCTGGGCGTCCTGCAGCTGCACTCCCCCCTCACACCCTTTCCATTCTCTTTCAGAACAAGGTGCTGACGGTGGATGGGGTGAAGGTGAAGCTGCAGGTATGTCCCCATGTCCCTGGAAGCCTCTCCCTTGCTGCCCTGGGTGTTTCAGGGATGGCCAAAGCCCCTCAGAGGACAAAGCAGAGGAGCAGCCCCAAAATGGGGCCCCACCTCCATCCTTTGTGCTCCTGTCTCCTGCCCTGGGACAGCCTTACAGCCCCTTCTGGCTGCTTTGTGCCCTTGGCAGGAGCCTGCACAGGGCTGGGGGCTGTTCTGGCCATGGTGATCCCCATCCCAGCCCGTGTGCCCTGCAGCCAGAGCTGCTCCAGCCCCTCAGACCTGGCAGCTTCTCTGAGCCCTCTGCCCGCAGCTTGGTAACACAGATCCCCCAGGAACAGCGTGCTCTCTGCAAACCTCCTGCTGCATTAAGGACTGATAAATCACATTAGCAGGTCCCCATGCATCCATCTGCTCCATGGATTTTCCAATTAATGGCTGTGTTGGGAGCCCTTGGCCACGCTGTGTCCCCACGCCGAGGAGCGGGAAGAGGCAGCTTCCATATTTATTGCTCTGGTCACTTTTCCTATTGACGTCCCCGGGAGTAAAAGCTGGGGGAGCTTCCTGGGGCTGCACCGTTGTGTTCGGGCTGGTTGGGGTGGGTTCTGCTCAGGTCTGAGCCCTGTGCTCCTGTGTGCCTTCAGATCTGGGACACGGCCGGGCAGGAGCGCTTCCGCAGCGTCACCCACGCCTACTACCGGGATGCGCACGGTAAGCACGGCCTCTCTGCTCCCGGGGACCTGGGGATGCGCACGGTAAGCACGGCCTCTCTGCTCCCGGGGACCCCTCCTCAGCTTGGGGGGCCTGGGGATGCCCACGGTAAGCACGGCCTCTCTGCTCCCGGGGCCTGGGGATGCGCACGGTAAGCATGGCCTCTCTGCTCCCGGGGACCCCTCCTCAGCTCGGGGCTGCGCACGGTAAGCAGGGCCCCTCTGCTCCCGGGGACCCCTCCTCAGCTCGGGGCTGCCCACGGTAAGCACGGCCTCTCTGCTCCCGGGGACCCGGGGATGCCCACGGTAAGCACGGCCTCTCTGCTCCCGGGGGTCCGGGGCTGCCCCTGCCGGCCAGGCGAGCCAGGAGTCACTGCAGTGCTCTCCGTGGGAGCAGCTGCAGGGGTGCAGGGGGCTCTGCAGGCAGCAGCAGGAGCATGAGTTGTTGCTGTGCTGGGTTTGTGTGTTCTGTGTCTCACAGGAGCTCAGGTGCCCAGCTGTGACTGCCACAGGGGCTGTGTGCCCTGGGCTGGGTGTGGCATGGCACTAACGGCCTGTCCCTCTCTCCACAGCCCTGCTCCTGCTCTACGATGTCACCAACAAAGCGTCCTTTGACAACATCCAGGTCTGACAACCCCCGGCCCCTCCTGCTGCCCCCGCGTGTGCTGGCTGGGCTGTGGTTGTGGGATGGTTCAGGGGGTGTGCTGCTGCTGGGAGCTGTGGGCACCTCAGAAGGGCTCTGCTGAGCACCTGCAAGGACAGGCAGGGACAGGCACAGAGGGTTTTCCCTTTCACAGCACATAAAGGGTGATGGACGCACTGCTCCAGCGCTGGAGACAGCTGCTCACACCGCAGGGTCAGGGATTCCAGGGAATTAGAGCAGGTTTGATTGGATTAGGCTGGATCAGAGGGCAGGGAAGCCACCCCACAGCTCAGGGAGGCAGGTTCAGGTCCTGCTGGGAGCAGGCACGGGGGCAGCACGTGCAGGACACGGGCACAGGGCACATCCCAGAGCCAACCCTTGGCCTTGTCCTCTGAAAAGAGGTTCAGTCTGAACATCCCAGCTCAGGGGAATTGGGGTCAAAGCCCTACAAGCACCCCTGGGCAGATGGAGTGGGCAGGGGGGTCAGAAGGCTGATGGTACCCTGGGAAATGGGGATCTGGCAGCAGCCAAAGTGGGTCCCCAGGGCTCAGGGGAACCCAGGGCACCCCCTTGCTGACAGGGATCATCTGTGGAACATCCCTGGCATTGCTTGGGGTGGCAGCACTGCCTGCTGAGGGTGTCCATGCCAGGAGTGGGGCAGCTCCCCATCACTGCCAGTCCCCTCCTGGAGCCATTGCCAACCCCTCTCTCTGGCTGTGTCCCTCCAGGCTTGGCTGACAGAGATCCACGAGTATGCACAGCAGGATGTGGTCCTCATGTTACTGGGAAACAAGGTGAGCCTGGCCCCAGGGCTTTGCCAGGGCCTCCTCTTCCTCCCAGGCTGGAGCCACAGGCGGGGGAGCCTGGCTGGGCATGGGGACAGGGAGGGACGTGCTGCTGGCCTTCCAAATCACCCCAAACTGCTCTTTGCCATTCCTATTGCAGGTGGATTCAGCCCAGGACAGAGTGGTGAAAAGGGAAGAGGGAGAGAAGCTTGCCAAGGTAGGTGAGGTACCTGAGGATGTCCCTGAGGAAATGGTCACCTGGACACCAGTTTAACTGAAAATACACCTGGGAACACTTGGCTTTTTTCCCCTTGTCATGCTCTCCCCTTTCTCCTCATCTGTTCTTCCTTTAAGTTTCTACTAACACCTCTTTTGTCCTCAAAAATGGCTCCCTGAGAGCCCCTGGGTGGCACTCCTGACAGGGCTGTGTCTGGTCCCACAGGAGTATGGAGTGCCCTTCATGGAGACCAGCGCCAAGAGCGGCCTCAACGTGGAATTAGCCTTCACAGCCATCGCCAAGTGAGTGACCAGAGCAGTGCCCTTGGCATCCAAAGCAGCTTTAGCAGTGTCCAAGCCACGCTGAGATCAACCGAACCGGGCAAGGCAGCTTGGAATCACAGAATCCTGGGGTGGCTTGGGTTGGAAGGGACCTTAAAGCCCATTTGGTTCCATCCCCTGCCATGGCAGGGACATCTTCCACCATCCCAGGTTGCTCCAAGCTCTGTCCAGCCTGGCCTTGGACATTTCCAGGGATCCAGGGACAGCCACAGCTTCTCTGGGCACCCTGTGCCAGGGCCTATCCTCACAGGGCAGAATTCCTTCTGAACACCCATCTATCCCTGCCCTGTCAGGGAAGAGCCGTTCCCTGTGTCCTGTCACTCCATGCCCCTGTCCAAACTCCCTCTTTGGCTCCTTCCAGACAAAATCCTCTCCCTGCCAGAAGCAGCAGTGTAAGAGTAACATCTTTCCCCTTCCCAGGGAGCTGAAGCACAGGTCCATGAAGCTGCCCAACGAGCCCAAATTCAAGCTCCACGACTACGTGAAGAAGGAAGTGCGAGGCTCGGGCTGCTGCAGGTCCTAACGTGTGCTTGTACAGAGACTCAGCCCCTGGGCAGTGTGTGCATGTCTGTCTGTCGTGTCTGTGTCTGCCCCAGGGCCAGCTGGGCACAGGAGCAGCAGGAGAGGCTCTCTGGGATCCGCAGCCCCCTGGCACCCATCGGCTCCGGCTGCCCTCGCCAGCATTCCTGCCCTGCTCACGGCTGGGAGGGGGCTGTGGGAAGGGGCTGGGGTCTCTTCTGTGCCTGCTCTGTGAGGCTGCTGTCACCTGTGTGAGAGCCAGGGTGAGATGCAGGGCAACCAACACCTTCTCCCCACCTAGGAGGAAAAAATGGTGATTTTTTTCTGGGTAGGAGAAGGTCCTGAATTCCCTTTTCTCTCCGTGTGTCCCTGGAATTCAGCTGAGAGCCCTGGCCTGGGGCGTGCAGGAAGGATGTGTTTGAAGGCAGCCGTTCTCGTAGGTGCTTTCTGCTGTCTGTCCATCCCTGTGAGGTGGGACACGCTTCCACAGTGAGGGATTGTTCCCTGCAAAGGCACAGCTTGGCTGTCCGAGTGAGCTCCTGCACACCTGGCTGTACAGAGATTTCTGAGTGTTCACCCTGTGGGAAAGGCTCTGCTTCTCCTCCTTCCGCCCTTTCTAGTACTTTGAGAAGAACCCTAATGTACTGCAGCTTATTCTAAATTCCTTCTGTAAGCGTGATGGTGTTTTCAGACCGCAACAACGCTTTGATATCTTCAAAGTTCTCTTGGGCAGCTCTTTCTTTTCAGCGCGGAGCTGGGGGGAAGCTGCAGGCAGTGATTTCACAGGCTGCAGCCTCCTGCCAGCTCTCTTCAAGGGCCTCCTCACCCCTTTGGTCTGTGTCAGGCTTTTGGCTGGTTTTTTGTCAAGCTGCACTTCTCAGTACAAATTTGAATCTGGATGAAGTGTTTGGCCTCTGGCAGTTTTTCCCTTTGAAAACTCCACGCACACATCAGCAGGTGCCCGCTGCGCCGAGCCGGGTGGCTCCAGATGAAACAGAATAACCCATCCTCAGCCCTCCAGCCAGCACCAGCCCCAGCTGCTGACTGAGATGCCCCTGCCCCTCATTTTTCCTGGGATTTTGGCTCCAGCACTGCCTTCCTGATGGGCACAAGGAGCCCCACGTGCTCCGAGCTTCACTCCTCAGGGAGCTCCAGCAACACGAGCAGCTACAGCTTCACAGGGTGAAAAAGGATCTTAAAATGAACCAGCTTTTTTCCCTAAACAGTATTTTAGGGGAGAGACAAGTCTTGAAATCGTCTGATTTAAATACTAAAATCACCTGTGGGAAACGCATTTGTGCAGGGATGTTTGCATTCCTGGCAAACCCTGCTGCCGATCCCAAAGGAGCACCCCGGTGATGGGGGCACCCCAGGAATTTGGTTTTGTGAGGCAGGACCAGCCTGGCACGGGCAGGACCAGCCTGGCAGCTCCAGGGCTGTTTCCTCATCCTGCCCTTGGAGCAGCAGCAGCCCCAGGTGACAAGGAAGCTCCCTAAAGGCAAAATTTAGGATTCCCAATGGATTAGGATTCCTAGTGTCAGGTTGCTACCTTCCCTCTCCCTCAGACAGGTTTTGTCTGGGTTACAAAGCTGACAGCTGCTCACTTCTTGCTCAGTGTGGGTCCAAAACCAACAAAAACCCCTTTAAATGAGGCAAATGTAAATATTTCCCTTGAGAGCACGTCCAGCCTGCCTGAGGGGACGAGACTCTGCCAGAGCAGAGGGCTCCCAGCCCGCTTTGGGCTCAGCCCCTCCCAGTGTGGGACTGCTTTCCCCGAGCTCCTCTCGGCCATTTGGGATTTTCTCCACGGGCCTCTGCTGCCACCACGCGGAACTGCTCAGCGCAGCGTTAATTATTGCGGTTAATTGCCCAGAGCACCCGGCCACGTGCGGGGACTCGGCCTCACCTGCAACATCCCATTTCTGCTGGCTCTCGTTTACAGCTTTCCGTTCATTCCTGTTAATAAAATTTTTAAATAATCTCCACGGTGTTTTGATTGAACACACAGCACTCAGTCATTCCAACATTTCAGCGCAGCCTTGAAACCATCCAGATCCACACAGCAGAACCAGGGTATGGCACAGTTTGGAGTGGATATTGGGAATTTCTCCCCAAAAAGGGCTGTCCAGCCCTGGCACAGGGGCAGTGCTGTAGTCCCCATCCAACCAGTGACTCCAAGATTCCAATGAAAGGAGTGGGGCTGAGAAAAATGCTTTAAATTCCAATGCACTCCAGTTCCACTGGGTCCCCACACAACATTCCAGTCAGCCTGTGGACGTACATGTCTCCCATAAAAACTGTAATAAACAGAAGCAAAACCCAGACTTTTCAAAACTTTTATTCACCTGTAAGCTACAAAATTCACTTTATACAGAGGCTGAAGTAGAAAAACAACATTAAAGCATTCACAATTAAGGCTGGTCTCAAGAGTGGGAGTAGCTTGTTATCGTCCACAGAGCTAAACAGAAAAAAGATTTAAATTCTCCATCTACACACTGCAGCACTAGAGTTAAAAGTGCAAATCCCTTCACTCACACTACTGCACCCACCACCTTGTGAGCATATTTACCTTGCACTAACCCATGAGGGAGAGTAAAAGTCGGTGAATTCTTTCCTCCAGCCCATTTTGCAGATGCTTCTTTGTGTTTTAAGAGCCGCCTCGAAGTAGAGCAGGAGCATCTCCCCGCGGGGCTCAGCCCCACTTACCGCGAACCCCAGGACAGGGAACACCGCCTTCTACCGGCCCACAACGCCGGGCACTGCCGCGGACCGGGCACGGGGCTCCGGGACGCCGCCACCGCCGCTTCCCGCCGAGCCCTGAGGGGAGAAGCAGCGCGTGAGGGGAGGAGCCCGCCCGCCCGCCCGGCCGGGCCGCGGGCACCGCGGGCCTCAGCCGTGGCTGCTCAGCAGGGGCTGCGGCCGCCCGCCGCCCTCAGACGAGGTGTCAGAAAAGGTAGATGTGGATCATCACCGGCCCGCCCTCGGTAATAGCCCCGTTACCGGCCCCGCTCCCTCCCTCCCGCCCGCCCGGCCCGTCCCGCACCTCAGGCTGGAAAGACCGCATACGCTCAACGCTACGTCTTTTATGGCCACTGCCATGTCGCTATTGGTCAGGCTGCTTTGGGCATAGCCAATCACCAGCGGTTGGCGTGACCACCGCCCCGCCTCCCCCAGCGCTGATTGGTCGCTGTTTTCCTCCCTGCCAATGGCGACGCGCAGCGCAGCGTGGCACGAGGCGGCAGATGCCGCCTTCTCATTGGTCACTGGAGGAGGCCGGGCAGAACCAGTAGCAACAGTGGTTGTAGCACGGAGCGACTCTTCGCGAGGGCTGCTGGGAGTTGTAGTCCGAGCGGCTCGGCGGCGCGGGCAGGAAGCGGCGCACGGGACTACAAGTCCCGAGGAGCGCTGGGCGCGGCTCTTCCGGGCCGGGCGGCAGCGGGGAGCAGGCCCGGGCGCGATGTGCCGGGACCGGGCACCGGCGCTGCGGCCGCCGCCGNAGACGGGAGGGGCCGGGGCGCGGGCCGGGAGGGCCGGCGGAGGCTGCCGGGGCCGCCCCGTGAGGGTGTGAGGGGTGCCGGGGGCGCTCGGGGCAGCTCGAGCATCCCCGGCGCTGTTCCGTGCCCGGCCCGGCTCCCCCGGTGTGTCCGCTGGGTCTCATGGCAGTCTGCGCTCCGTTTTGCCGTGTTCCGCCCCGTTTTGGTGTTTTTCTCTCCCTTCCCTGTCGGAGCGCAGCGCTGTTGCCGCTGGCCCTTTGCTGCCCTCCCGGAGCATCGACCCCGAGTGCGGGCTGCCGGGCCCGGGCTGCCGCAGCGCGCGGGCAGGTCCGGAGCGGCACCGGCAGCTCGCAGTAAATTCTGTGCCACTTCTGCCGTTCTCCTCTCATTTCAGACGAGCTCCGGGGCTCTGTCCCGGGGCACACTCAGGGGTCGCTGAGCTGCTGTGCTGGGAGGATTCCCCCTGGCTTCTGCTTCCCTCTGGGCTCTGCTGGGCTCAGGGACAGCCACAGGGCCGCGAGGGCTCCAGGAGCTGGGCTTGGTGTGTCCAGAACAGCCAGGAGCTGGGCTTGGTGTGTCCAGAGCAGCCAGGAGCTGGGCTTGGTGTGTCAGAGCAGCCCAGCTCTGGCTGCTGTCCCCGCCAGGGCTGGCTGTGTTGAGGACTGTGACCCAGCAGTTGTCTCTTGCACTTTGGCAGCGTTGCTGTGCCTTTGTTGCAGTGCCAGCAGTGTGATTTTGCCTCCCGGGGTGTTTTTCCCCCCAGGGGTGTGTTTCCAGTCGGGTTCCTCTTGAGCAGCTGCAGCGTTTTGGCCTCGAGTGTTTGGCAGCTTCCAGGCACAGTGGGGATGGTGGGGCTTGCAGGGCAGGGTTTGGGGGTGAAGGATGGTTCCAGAACGCCCGTGATGAGTGAAAGCAGTGCGAGATCACAGAATCCCAGAATTGTTCAGGTTGGAAAATACCTCCAAGACCCTCTGTGCCTGATCCCAGCCCAGAGCTCTGAGTGCCACCTCCAGGCATTCCTTGGACACCTCCAGGGATGGGCACTCCAAACCTCCCTGGGAGCCCCTTCCAGTTCCTGACAACCCCTTCCATGAGGAAATTCCTCCTGATGTCCAGCCTGCACCTCCCCTGGCAAGGGACATTCCTCGAACGATGCAGGCGGCTGCAGGAGCAGGTGCTGCCTGCAGTGTGCTGGATTCCCTCCAGGCTCCCCTGACTGGGATGGGCTGAAGCCACCAGGAGCTCCGTGCTGGTTTTTGGTGTCCCTGCCTGAGGGAGGGGATGTTTCACCCTGTGGAAATGGGAACCTGAGCCACGGTGGTGTTTCCAGGCTGGTACCTTCACTGCTGACACTCACACAGGGCATTTCATACTCACTGGGCTCAGAGAAGGGAAAAAAACCCCAATCCACGGTTTTGGGGTGGTGTGGGTCCCTGAGCTGGGGGTTCCCTGAGCTGGGGGATCCCAGGGTGAGCCCCCCAGTGCAGCACAGCCCTGCTGGCCCAGAGCCGTGTGTGAGCACCCCGTGTGAGCATCCCTGAGCTGGGGGATCCCAGGGTGAGCCCCCCTGTGCAGCACAGCCCTGCTGGCCCAGAGCCGTGTGTGAGCAGCCCGTGGAGGTTTGTGTCCCCTGCCCAAAGCCAGCCCTTCCCTTCCCAGGCCCCACGATCCCGAGGTGCTGCTGGAGCCTCGGGGAGCCCTGCAGGCTCTGGGGCTGGCACAGCACCGTGTGCTGCTCCAGCTCTGCCCTGCTCTGCCCCTGGGGGTGCTCCCGGGCACTCTGCAGCCTCAGAGGGGTTCAGCCATGGGTCACCCCCAGGGCAGAGCTTCCCCTGCTCCCAGGGACCTTCCAAGCCCTGCTGGATGTGTGACATTCCCTGCAGGGTGCCTCTGCCTTTCTCAGGGTTATCCCAGCCAGGCCAGCTGTGCCAGGAGCAGTGCACTGGAGAGAAAATCCTTGCTGGCTCCCAGCACTCGGGTTACGTGGCTGTGCTGTCTGGTGGAACTCTTCCCTCCCGGTTTTTCTTCCCTTTTCTGTGCCGTGGGCATGGTGGGGCATGTCCCTGTGCCCCTGGGTCGGGTCAGGGGGTGTAGGGACAGCTGGGACAAGGAGGGAGGTGGCTGGTTGCTCACAGGGGTTCGTGTCACCCCTCTTGGAGCTCAGCAAAGGCAGCAGCACCCCAAATCACCCATTCAAGCTGCTCTGCTCTGCCTCGAGCACAGCTTGGAGCTGCAGAGCCACCTCTGAACGAGCTGTCCTGGGGCTGGAGCTGGGCACTGGGACAGCCTCAGCCCTGGCAGGGTGTCCTGGCAGTGGAAGTCCCCACCAGCAGCAGTGTCTGTGTTTGGGGTGAGTCCTGCTCCCCAGCCCTGCCTTTTGTGGCTGTTCTTGGGTTGGATTGTCT